TTATTCGGCTTTTCCAACGAACAAGTCTTCGCGGTAATGTTGTTCTCTGTATTCGCGGTAATGTCGTTCGCGGTATTGTCGTTCGCGGTAATGTCGCTGTATCAACTAAAACACAATCTAAGTCAATAGCGTGAAAAAACCGATGGAGACTTTATGAATAAATTTGTATTTTTTGTATGAATTTATTCATCATTTCAGGTCAAAAAAGACTTAAAGAGTTAATGGTTGTCATTCGTTAAGATGCCGGCCAAAAAATCAAACAAAACGAAAACTACAAAAAAGAAAGTGGTATATTTAATTTATCCACTAAACATATCAACTGACATTAGTTTATCTAAGTTCAATAAAAACAAAAAGAAATATTTATCTGCAACCATTTCAGGTATACAAAAACTGATAAGTACACCAGATTCCAACATTAAAAATAAAATGTTAACAAAATTGAAACAGCAAAGCGGTAGTGATATATATGATTCCAATGAAAGCGACCAAGTTAGCATCGCCGAAAACCTTGAACATCATTATCATCAAGATGAAGATGCTTTACTCATTTGGCTTGATAGTGGAAATAAAACGGACGAAAATAGTAGAATCAAATTAAAATTGCAAACAATTACGCATAATTTACAAGCATTTTCTGATGCAGAAACGTGTGAAGCTTACATAAATTCAATTGAACTACAACCAATATTCTTAATTGTTTCAAGTCAATTAGATGAGCATATCTTACCATCCATCCATCCATAACAATGCAAATATACATTCAATTTATGTATATTGTATGAATACAGAGCATGGTCGGTTTAATTTAAAAAATCAAAGATGTCTACGAGGATCTTGAGGCATTAGCAATCATACGAAATGGATGGCCGCTTCTTACTAGCGGTGATGAATAACGCAGATATTGATTTATAAACAGTTATGAAAGTCAAAGAAAAAGTAGTTCTTTGATCCTTAGGGCGCTTCGTAAGCTACCAAGTCAGAAATTTCCAATAATTCAGTTCAAAAACTCAATCGTTTCAAATGTTCAATTCTGCGTTTTTTTTTCTTGTTTGCGTTAAAACGCTATTTAGTCCTTTATTCTTAATTATAATTAATTAATTAACAACACTCTTGAGATTCTTGACGTCGAGAAACTGATTTTATTGAGTCACTTTGTCTGACTGCGACTTCGAGGCGGAACCATGCGTTCTTGCGTCGAATCTCAGAGATTAAATTATAAAAAAATTTTGAAAAATTTTTTGTAATTATACGGGTCTTCTCACACTGTGAAAGCGACAAATGGGTTTTAAGACAGAAAATGCAGAATAAGAAAACGTTAGCAAGCAGTAAGCCATCGAAAAAGTGATTTGTTTGGAAGAGACGCGTATGAGAAAAGATCTCTGTTCAAACGAAAATAATGCGTTGGAAACAAGGAAGACGTAGTAAGAAAAAACACGGATTATTTTGGATTATACGTGAACGAAAAAAATTTGTGGAATACTTGAAAACACATATTTTCAAAAAAAATCCAATAAACATGTTACATGTATACGTTTTTACTCGGCTTTCCTTAACTCAAAGAATACTGAAAATCACACACAAATCACATTGAGGAAATCGTTAATGAAAAAGACGTATTCTTTAAAACGATTGATTTTTTTTTTCTCTACTAAGGACAGATAAGGCGGATAAAAACTTCGATTGTTTTAAGCTGACGTGTTTTTTGTCGATCTGTGTAATAAAAACATGGAATGATATTAGATCAGCGGCTTCACAAGACTTACTAGGATTTAATACTGACAATATTAATGGAAAAATATTTCAGGATTTAACAAATAATAATACTAAACTTATTTGGTATCAGTTGTTAACCGATGTACTTTTTTTCAAATTATTCAAGTACAACGGATGGTAATAATAAAGCTGAACAAGTAATGGTAGAGGCATGTAAAAAATTGTATAAAAATGGTGCAGAGCAATTACAACGCATAAAACAATTTGAACGTCAGTGTACATTCGATCAAGCAGTCGAAATTTATACAGATGAATCATTTATGTATAAAATAATAAATCGAGCATTACGTATCGAAAAATTAGATCTTCTATTAATATTTCGATTTTATCTTACGTGATCTATTATTACAGTTAAAATAATTACATAATGAACAATTTGTTAAGAAAGAACAACAACAAAACAAAATTTTGGTTTATCGCGGACAACATTTATCTGAAAGCGATCTGAATCATTTACAGATGAACGAAGGTATTATTTTTTAGTTTTAGCATTTACTCAATCAATTCTATCTCTCTCTTTTAAGGTAAACTGCTATCATTTAATGGATTTTTATCCACATCAGTGAATAGCACAGTAGCAATAAAATTTGCTAAACGTAAATCAACATTATCCGTTCCCGTTTTATTTGAAATAGTTATTAATTATTATTATTCAAGATTATCGACACGAGCTTATGCTGATATAAGTCAAATTAGTAAATTTAAAATTGAACAAGAGATTCTGTTTGATATTGGAAATGTATTTCGAATTGATAGGAGTGCTTTTGATCAACATTTGAGTATTTGGAAACTACGACTGATTTTACGTAGTACGAATGAACAGTCTTTACAACAGTTTGTTGAACATGTTAGAAATGAAGTTGGCCAAACAAATCCAATAACCATGTTTGGTGAATTATTAAGACGAATGGGTGAATATAATAAAGCTGAAAGCCATTATTTACGATTGTTAAGTGATTCATCAGCATCATGTGATGATCGACCTGCTCTACTAAATGGTATTGGCCTTGTTTATAGTGATAAAGGTCTGCATCACAATTCTAAAGCAGAAAGTTATTATTTGGAAGCATTAGAATTATCAAGAACGAAATCAGACGTATCTCATTGATATGAAAACTTAGGTGCTATCTATTTCAATAAAGAAGAATACGATCAATCGTTGGCCTATCACAACAAAGCACTTGAAATACGAATTAAAGATTTATGTAATATACTATTGTTAATAGCAATAAGTTACTGTCATATAGGAAATATTCATTTTGCACAAAACAATTATGAAAAAAGAACAACATTAATACCGATGATTCTCGTCTATTTTTAATTGTTTTTGGAATAAAAGAAGATCCACAAGATTTTTCGTTTCATTTATGCTTGTACGATAGATTAGTATATGAGATATAGATAGATTAGTATATAGATTCGACCTCAATTTTCTGGCATTCTAGAAATTCGATGTCGAATTTCTATATATTTATTTTCATAGTTCTCTCATATAAACACTTCAAAGTATCACAAATAGTACCTCACAAAACAATCTTATTGATTATTATATTGTTAAAATGAGATTGACCAGTCGATTTAAGACACAGATTCTGCCAATCCAATTCTATTTCGTCCAAAATCAAACACCGTATACAAACGACGAAAAAGACCTTGTCCAAACATCCAGACCTTAGTGTAGTCACCTTTTGACACAAAACGACTATAACATTCCGTATCATTAGCAGATCTGACTACATAATCTGAACCATAAATCATAAACCATTTATTTCCAAAACCTATATACACTGGTGGAAGAGAATCGATATCTATTGAACAATTGAATCGATACTAAAATGAAATTCGTAGAATCGTATCAGAAAATCCTAAATAACTCAAGATTACATGTTTTCAGCAGCTTTGCACTCTTCAATAGATGCAGACTTTCAGCTAACGAGTGCAGTAGCCAGAGTTCCAAATCGCTTTCTGGCTCACACATCCTTTCGCTGGGATTGCTTTTGACTATGATCGCATGGCTGATATCCATTTGTGCCATTATAACCTTCAAGTGATATTTTTGTATCTCGTGCTTGTATTTTGTAAGCCGTTCCTTAGCTGCCAAAACGTTTGTACATAGCCCATGCAGAAATTTTACGAATATAATCGCGGTAAACCGTAGTGTAAAAATCCGCGGCTTTTGCCGGTTTATATACACTGCGGGAGTCAGACCGTTTATTAGGTTTTTACACACCGGCCGAAATCGCGGTTTTTCATACCACGGTTTCGAGCAGTTTTTTTACAAAAACAATTATCTTCATGTTATCGCCGGTATCTGTTCGTTTTCCGTCCTTCTCTCTTTCTTCATTCTACTTTTGTTTCTATAGCTCTGACCCCGCTTGCCGCTGTTCTTACCACTGCATCCATACACCACGGTTGTTGCTTTTGTTGCACTGCGATAATCCTGTAACGCGGCTAGCCTACCAGAAACCACCAATCTTTCACACGAATTGTGTGAGATTCGAACTCCTTACCTTTCATTTGCTTGTCCAACATGTTTATAAGCTGCACAGAAAGCAGACTTATCATGGAATTTATTTTCTATATATTTTTACATATTTGGATTCGCCTTTTGATACTGATCACGAATACGTGTTCCTCGATTTTTTCTGGAGACTTTTTTTACGTCGAAAACATCGGAGTACTCAGAAGCGGTCACAAACCCCCCCCCCAAAACGGTAGTTTTCGAAAAATCGCTGCCGTTTTTTACGGGTTCTGGTTTCACGAGCCGTTTTCTGGAGTTTCTGAACCACACGCATTTCGGGATTTTTTCGCAGAGAGGCGTTCGGGACTAAAAATATTCAAATACCAGTTTCCGATGCAGTTTTTAATGCTAAAAAAGTCAGAAAACTTTGGTTCGGCTCGTGAAACCAAAACCCGTAAAAAATGGAAGTGGTTTTTCGAAAACTACCGTTTTGGGGCGCTTCCGAGTATTTTGAGTTTTTCGACCCAAACAAAAGTTTCCAGAAAAATTGAATACATATTCCTACTGAGCTTGAATCCCTCTATGGAATGGTATATAAAAAAATACAAAATAAACTTCATGATAAGTCTTTCTGTGCACCTTACAATAATCAAAACTGATGCTAGATCTTAGCGATCTAAGTGTTTTAAGTAAGAAACAGCTGTGGCAGTTAACCAGGAATACCTGATCCAAAGCAAGAGAATCAGAAAGACCTCAGAAAAAGACGTTCAAAATCAGAAAATCAATAGATCTTTGACGAAAAAAGATGAGAAAAGAGGCAGAAAAAGTTGAGAAGATCTAGGATCCCTGGCGATTGCTATCGTCATATTCACTATTACGTTTGCGGAACGACGCCGCGCTTTGCCACAGAGAAACCGCGGCGAGACAAAAAATCCGCGGTTAACCGCGGTTTTATTCGAAAACTTTCTCCGTGGGAGGTGATTTGACAAGCTCGACAATCTGGCAGTTGCAGAATGTGTTCAGCCGGAACTTCATAGTCAATCCGGAGATCCGCTCATCAGAGTATCATTAAAGAAAGGTTATAGTGGCACGAATGAATATCAAGCATATGATCAGGGTCAAAAGCTCCCCCAACAAAAGCATGTGTGAGCCAGAAAGCGATTTGCATCCTGGACTACTTGCCTCTTAATATGCTTTCCATATAAACATACTTACGAATATTTTATTTATCCTATCCTCTGGTGGTGTGGCGACAGACACTATTGCACCAATATAATCATTTATTAGTCGAATATCGTTTTCATTTCCGAGATTAGCATCACAACCGGTATCGATGCCAACGGTTGAATTTTGACCAAGTATTTTGTTCCCAATTTTGATACTAAAGATAAGAAAGGAAGCAGAACTGTATTCGAATATCTCTTATTGAATGTTAACCGCACTCACCCATTCATTCGAATAGCCCAGATCCCATTGTATTCTAGAGGTACATAGACCAAATCTCCATGAAAACGTTTTTTATCAATATTATCGAAAGTTATTTCACCAGTGCCTGAGTGATTGTCTCTAAAACGTATCGATTTCAGAAAACTCAATTAGAGCAAAGCGAGAGTATGAAGAACGAGCGACATTTCTTTAGGTAAATATAAACGATACAATCTCACGTTACAAAGTAAAAAAGTGATTTTTAAATAAAACCTTTCTACTTAGTTAGAGCCTATTAAACTTGTAGACATTTTGAGAAAAAAAGTCTGATTAAAAACAACTTTTTCCCAAAATAAAGGCTTCTTTCTAAATCGAATGTATAGCTACGACCAGTTGCATATCTGACACTAACTTCAGAACTCTTTTTTAAACAAATCATTCATAGTCTGTCCTTTGCCTAGAGGAAAGCAAAAATCTTCTTGTCCTGGTCAACCTTCTTCTTCCTATCCGTCGCTTAAGCAAGCAGGAAACACATCTTCACCCTTCAGAGACACATCCCAACCAATAAAACGTTAATTTGTGTGGAGTTCGAAAGACAAATCAGTTAGTAGAAAATTATTCTTTGAAACGTAGAGGAAGAAACATCAACCTACTGTCGTATCCAATAACCAAACAGTTGCTGTTTTATGTTTAGATTATTGACTAATGGTGCTTCATAACCAACACCATATACTATCGATGCTTTAAGAAACTTGTTAAACACGAATTTGGATGTCTCTTGATCATACAAACCCTGGTTTTGCTTGTACTCTTCAAAATCAAATTTTTCCGCTTCAGGTACATATCTTAAACCGCAAACACCAAGATCTGAATAGTATTTCATCGTCCTACCACTGAACGTTGCAATTTCAACAAACTGCTGCTGTTTAACCATTTGATCTCCTATCTAAACTAACAGAGTGACATTACTTTTTCACAAAACTATTAATTGTATACACACTTGTACGCTGTCAATGCTGAAAATACCGTGGAGACAAGACTTATCGGCAAAGCACGCTGAACCATTCTTTTGACCACTTCTATATGTCAAAGACTTTGAACCGTCATATTTCCATGCTGTATCTAAAGCACAACAAGAGAAAAATATAAACTTATCGGTGATCATGCCACTTCTTTTGCTTCTTACAGAATGCATTATATGACGTTTTGCTTACCAGAACACCTTTTGCAGTGAATCGAAGGAATAAACATTGAGATTGAACCAGTATCGAAATTACATAGGACAGGCTGTTGAGGTGTACCAATATAAATGACACCAACGTATAATCCCTATTAAAATACATCGGAAGCGATGATTTTGGAACAAAAGTATATCAACTAGTCGTATTAGGTGCTCCAGTCTACTTTCATTTTCGTGCAGTTTGGGTTGAAATAACAGCTGTATAAATGTGCTCAACGGGCTCTACAAAATCTTATAAGACCCTACAGAAGAAGCGCATGGATTCCGATATAATCTATCGCTGATAAAAATCAAATTGAATCTCTTTGTACATTTTCCTCTTCACTTCTCTGGGATTCAAGCAGAACTGGATTAAGGTGTTAGCATATGGCTCTAACAGCCAAATACATGTTTTCATCCGTATACATTCGCTCGATAAACTTTAATGTTTGTCTTAGCTGCTGTGCTGTGAAAAAAAACATTGCATCAGATCGCTCCGGTCTTTTCTCCTACGCGTTTCTCTTTTGTTCAGAAACGCGGATGAGAAAAACATGCGAAACGCATACGTTCGAGTGCGCACTTTCCGAATATGTAGTCGAACATTTATTATCAAGCATAACTTTAGAAATAAGGCACTTTTCAAAACAATATCATTTTTTGTGGAAACTGACAGGACCGCTTATTGCCTATTTTAATCTATCAATTACTCTTTTCAATTTTTAAGGAAATCATTGAGTATACACCATATGTTTTTAACTTGAAAGCCATGCAGCAATCTTATTTTTTGAAAACTGGTTTAAACCGTTAGACAGGATACTGAAATAATATATTTCTCTCATCTTGAAGAACGTCGTTTCACACACTAAGATATTTTGCAGCTACTTGTACGACATACGCGCGTTACATCAAAATGCAAATGAGAGTTTTCTTTCAGTTGCTTTTTCCTATAGGAAAGTAGCGAAAATGTGCAAAAATTTTCTCAATTAGAGATGAAACTATATACAGAAAGATGATAGAAAACTTCTCGTTTGAGATCATACTATCATTTCACTTTGCAAGATCAGCTATCGACAAGATATATCGGTTACTTTGAGTTTATACCAAGGTTGTATATCAGTTTCACATAGAAATTCTAAAGTCCACTACACAGAAACACGAAAATTCAGAGGGTTAAGCGTTCACAGTTTAAGACAGACTTATCATGCTTCACAGGAATATCGATTTTAAAGTTAATACTTTACTCACCGCCAAATCCAATACTATTCGATGCAGAGATGTCTATCCCCACCTACCCTAGTCGACCGATCTTACGGTAATTCTATAGAAATCTTATCAGAATCTTATATAAGGCAGTCGATGGAAATGCGTAATTTATTGATAAGATTCTTATAAGAAGGAATATAAGAATCTTATAAGATTCTGATAAG